CGACAGTCAGTCAAGGATACGACAGTCAACCAAGGCTGCGACAGTCAACCAAGGCTGCGACAGTCAACCAAGGCTGCGACAGTCAACCAAGGCTGTGACAGTCAACCAAGGCTGCGACAGTCAACCAAGGCTGCGACAGTCAACCAAGGCTGCGACAGTCAACCAAGGCTGCGACAGTCAGCCAAGGCTGCGACAGTCAGTCAAGGATACGACAGTCGGTCAAAGATGCGACAGTCAGTCAAGGATGCGACAGTCAGCCAAGGCTGCGACAGTCAGTCAAGGATACGACAGTCAGTCAAAATGCAACAGTCAGTCAAGAATGCTAGTCAAGGACATGATATCAGTAGATCCAGCAGTAGACTGACCAGCTCTAGGGGCGTGGGCAGCACCAGCTGCTGACAGTGCTCAGTCAGCGCCGTGATCAGCGTTTGACTGTCATCAGCGAGCTGACGTCGAGCTGCGTCACGCTCTCCAGCGTCAGCGCTCTGGAAAATTTAAATATGTTAAATATATTCCAACAACAATTTCGTCACATATTTTCGGTTAATGCAGCCTTTTTAAATTCTATACTCAAGCATCGACAAATGTTATAGTTCAGATTATACATCTTACTGATAATTATACGTATACGTGAGACTCGTATACGCGAGACTCGTATATGTGAGACTCGTATACGCGAGACTCGTATACGTGAGACTCGTATACATGAGACTCGTACACGTGAGACTTGTACACGTGAGACTCGTATACGAGAGACTCGTATACGAGAGACTCGTATACTAATAAACACTCACGTGCATGTCAGGGTAGTTGATCGCTGCAGGTACCAGGAAGAAGTCATCGCCATCAGGATGGTCAGGTCGGTACCACTTGTCCAGCAGGTCTTTGTGCTGGTCACTGACAAGGTGGTCCAGCAACTGGGCATGACAGGTCCTAGTGATGCTGGACGGCAGGACTGGACTGTCCAGCTGTCCGTGCCATAACACTAGTGGTATCACGACGCTGGTGCGGCACACGCCTGAAGGTTATGGGTATGATGGTTGGTAAGGAATGATACGACAGATAATGATAAGTAACTATGATATGGTAGCCGGGTAGTGTCAGCTACCTTTAATAAAGAAAATAGCTAACTACACCGGTAATAAACATAACAGCTACCTATAATAAACATAATAGCTAACTATAATAAACATAATAAACTGACACAATAAATGGTCTATGAATACTACAGTAGTCTCAGCTTTTAATAAGTATACCTACACAAAAAATGGTCTATGAATAATACAGCAGTGTCAGCTTATGATAACCTACCAAAATAACGAATGTGAGCAACGACGGAATGATAAGTAGCAGCAAATGATAAGGAGCCATACTTTAAAAACTCGCTAAGTGAACGTAAGTACTTACGCACTGTTTTCTTGTTTATGATTGGTGGATTTTGCTTGAAAGGCCGTCAATGATTGGCTGATGAACTTACGATCTCTTAACTTTTTTTGAAAGTATGGCCGCAGGTCAGACGCTGGATTTAAACTGAGTTTCATTAACTTAACTGGCGTTCATTTAAAAGATACTTCTGGGTCTGGCTACAAGAAAACGAGAGATTCTCTACAGCCACGTACTGTAATTTGACTAATTTCTATCGAAAAAGTACATTTGCTTATTACGATGATTTGCTTATTACCGTACAAAGTATGGATCACTTTGCTGCTAGAAAAAAATTTGACACCCATGAAGCATCCAGAAAAATGTGAAAATTTTCATCAAATTTGAAATTTGGACAAAAATTGAAAAAAAGTTGGGAAGAAAATTTTCATAAAAAATTTGAAAAATTTTCACTAGGAAAATTTTTCATCACGAAAATACGTTGTAATTTACCTGCAAGAACAGTCTCAGCGACGTCCGTGACGTCACGAGCAGTAACGCAAAACGTCGCGTCATCGCCGGCGTCGGCGACGGGTCCATAGACGACGTTGAGGTGCCAGCCCTGGGCCAGGGCCGTGGCCCGCAGCTGGGGGACCACGTGTGGCCCCAGACACGACACCTCCGTCCACGCCTCTGTGGGACACGTACGGGTCAGCATGGGTCAAATGGTCCAAATAGTGACACACAAGCGGGGTCAGAAAAATGGTGGGGTCAAATGGTCTAAATAGTGACACACAGGTGGGGTCACAAAAATGGTAGGGTCAAATTGTCCAAATAGTGACAGTGGAACAATATGGGACAAATGACCATTTTTGGGACCCCAATAGTGGGGTTACAAAAATGGCGGGGTCATATTGTCGAAATAGTGACACGCCGACGGGGTCACGAAAATGGCGGGGTCAAATTGTCTAAAAAGAGACCTACTTTCTCCAAGTAGCATTGATACGGCCTACCACGTGCCAAAGTGGGTTCGAAGAACCCAACACAAGGGCTAAAATTGCAAAGCTATTTAGACAGTCTCATTAATTTCTCTGAATACGTGGTCAACTGAGGGCTTGTCTATGAGAGATTTAATATTGTTTAAAAGACAATTCCACACAAACCGTTTATAACACTTATTATGGTTACCTACATGTCATTATTATAATAAATTCCTAATTTGTTCAATAAAATACTCGTTCAGTATATAAAACTCATTATAGTTACACGTCATTATTATAATAAGTTAATAACTAGTTCGATTAAATACTCGCTCGGTACATAACACTTATGATAGTTACACGTCATTATTGTAATAAATTCCTAATCTGTTCGATGAAATACTTACTCAGTACATAACATGTCGTTATATTATAGTTACACTTATGATAGTTACATTTCATTATAATACTGAATTCCTAATTTGTTCAATGAAATACTCGCTCAGTACATAAGTTATTATAGTTACATGTCATTATTATACCTAAAATTAATTAATAATTTGTTCATTAAAACACTGACCGCGCGTCGCGCACACATATAAGGTGACACAGCGCCCGCGCTCGCGCTCCCTTCTGCTGCGCTCATCCGTGGCGCCCTCGGCAGGACTCGTCTCCTCAAGGGCGCCGCCCTCCAGCAGCCTTCTCACCGCCAGAGGGAAGCTCGACAGCAACGGCAGGTCTGTCGGTGGAGGACCTGAGTCCTTGCCGCGGCTTTGAGGGACAACCTGCGACGCCGCGGGACCCGACATCGACATTCCTGCAGGAGCATTCACAGAAATGGGTCATCCTGACCTACTTTGGTGCGGCAAAAGGACGTATCTGTGCAGAAATGGGTCATCCTGATCTACATTGGTGCGGCAAAAGGACGTATCTGTTCCGAAATGCTTTATCCTGACCTACTTTGGTGCGGCAAAAGTACAAATCTGTGCAGAAATGGGTCATCCTGACCTACTTTGGTGCAGCAAAAGGACATATCTGTGCAGAAATGGGTCATCCTGACCTACTTTGGTGCGGCTAAAGGACGTATCTGGGCAGAAATGGGTCATCCTGACCTACTTTGGTGCGGCTAAAGAACGTATCAGTGCTACGTGCAGAAAGTGTGTAAGTATTCGAAAAATTTGCCTCACTCATAATTCTGAGCAATGGGCAATGGTTAATTTGGGTTTGGGATTCGTAGTTTTTTGTTTTTCATTTGGTGCTGAGCGAGTACATCGTCTTGGTTGATTCTTGGAAACCAAGGCATTAAAGGAAGGCTTCCATAAACTTTTTTTAACTTCTCAACATGCAAGATTAAGCTTTTATGTCGATTGCAGGCTTAGCAAGTGAGAATCTTTACCTAATATCCATTGCTCCTTTCGTGAACAATACAACATTGTTTTGTTATGCTATGTTTCTTATACTCCTTTACCCCATAAGGACTGATAAATAACCCTACTTTTTAATTTACTCACTGAGAGTGAAATTGTCATGGAATACAGGAAATAAGTGGGGAGTTTGAAGCAATCATTAAACAGACATCCACATTTTCAGAGCATAAGATACCCCTAATGAATAAATTTATTTTATTCAAGATGAAGCTTCTTCCGAGCGTTACGTAAAACGAAGCTTTAATAATATGATCGCGATATTATTTGTGCAGGAGGTAACACTAGGGTTTGAGACATGAATGAGTGATGGATGATACGAAGCTTGAATATTGTGGAGAAATAAAGAATTAGTGTCTTAAGTTGTTCTATGGGTTGTCGAATGTAATAAAATTTTAATAATGTACGTAAATACACAATTAATTTATTCAATTATAAGAAACAGAGGAAATTGATTGCGAGCTTAGATCAACCTAATCAACGGACGTCTGTTTTTACAATGTAGTTGCGGCTAAGCGTAAAATAACACTCAAGTGCCAGGGGTGACGAATAAAATCATATTATTCATGACGTGACATGATGTAACAAAAGTCACACACAATAAATGGTCTATGAATACTACAGTAGTCTCAGCTTTTAATAAGTATACCTACACAAAAAATGGTCTATGAATAATACAGCAGTGTCAGCTAATGATAAGCTACCAAAAGAACGAATGTGACCTGCAACGGGATGATAAGTAGCGGCAAATGATAAGGTCAGACGCTGGATTTATACTGAGTTTCATCAACTTAACTGGCGCTCATTTAAAAGATACTTCTGGCTACAAGAAAGCGAGAGATTCTCTACAGCCACGTACTGTAATTTCTATCGAAAAAGTACATTTGCTTATTACGATGATGCTTTGACTACGTACAAGCTACCGTACAAAGCAAGGATCAATTTAATGGTAGAAAAAGTTCGGCACCCATGAAGCATCAAGAAAATTTTTAAATTTTTATCAAATTTGCAGAAATTTGAAAAATTGAAAAAAAGTTGGGAAAAAAGTAAAAAATTTTCATCAAAAATTTGAAAATTTTTAATCAAAACTAAAATTTGAATGATTTTCATCAAAAATTTGAAAAATTTTTACCAATAAAATTTTTTTATCACAAAAATACGTTGCAATTCACCCGCAAGAACAGCCTCAGCGACGTCTGTGACGTCACGAGCAGTAACGCAAAACGTCGCGTCATCGCGGGCGTCGGCGACGGGCCCATAGACGACGTTGAGGTGCCAGCCCTGGGCCAGGGCCATGACCCGCAGCTTGGGGACCACATGTGGTCCCAGACACGACACCTCCGCCCACGCCTCTGTGGTACACGCACGGGTCAGCATGGGTCAAATGATCCAAATAGTGACACACGGGCGGGGTCAGAAAAATGGTGGGGTAATATTGTCTAAATAGTGACACACAGGCGGGGTCACAAAAATGGTGGGGTCAAATTGTCTAAATAGTGACACACAAGTGGGGTCAGAAAAATGGTGGGGTCTAATTGTCTAAAAAGTTACACATTTTTTTCCAATTAGCATTGATACGGCCTATCCCAGGCCAAAGTGGGTCGAAGAACCCAACACAAGCGCTAAAATTGCATAGCTATTTAGACAGTCTAACTAATTTATTTATCTGAATAAGTGGTCACCTTGGGGCAAGACCATAAGAGAATTGACCAAGAATTGTCTATGAGAGAATTAACATATGGCAATAACATACCGTAGTTTAAAAGACAATTTCACACAAACCGTTTATAACACTTATTATGGTTACAAGTCATTATTATAATAAGTTAATAACTAGTTCGATGAAATACTCGCTCAGTACATAACATGTCATTATATTATAGTTACACTTATTATGGTCTCTTATACACATCTAGATGTGTATAAGAGACAGGGATACGACAGTCAGTCAAGGATACGACAGTCAACCAAGGCTGCGACAGTCAACCAAGGCTGCGACAGTCAACCAAGGCTGCGACAGTCAACCAAGGCTGCGACAGNTACAGCGCTAGTTCTTGGTAATTAAATTTCCCTTCGTTAAACAAAGAACATTATTTCTGCAAATAAAAAAAGACATGAAAGCTTCAATGGCGCGACGCTCGTCTACCGTCACTTTATTTCCAAGGGAAAGCAAGCGCGTCTATAACTTCATCCGCGCGGCCGCTGAGCCGCCATGCACCGCGTGACTGACCGGCAGCTGCGTGGATGTGAGAAGACATCCGTAGAGCAGGAACAGTGCTGAGCAGGAGCAGTTATGGGCAGGAACAGTGCTGAGCAGGAGCAGTTATGGGCAGGAACAGTGCTGAGCAGGAGCAGTTCTGGGCAGGAACAGTGCTGAGCAGGAACAGCTTCTTGGCAGGAACAGTGCTGAGCAGGAACAGCTTCTGAGCAGGAACAGTGCTGAGCAGGAACAGTGCTGAGCAGCAACAGTGCTGAGGCTGTCTCTTATACACATCTAGATGTGTATAAGAGACAGACCTGCACCACTGACCTAAGGCGCTGCCTGCACCACTGACCTAAGGCGCTGGCGACCTGCACCACTGACCTAAGGCGCTGGCGACCTGCACCACTGACCTAAGACGCTGCCTGCACCACTGACCTAAGGCGCTGGCGACCTGCACCACTGAACTAAGACGCTGGCGACCTGCACCATGAGTAGTGACGTGTTCTGTAGCGCAGGTCCGAGGCTTCGTCGCGCAGATCGCGTGCGCTGCCGACGACGCAAGAAGCCTAGGTATCGGTCTAGGTCTAGGTCGTCTAGGGACGGTAATCTAGAAGCTCTTTTCATAGTGCCTGTATCCTCACGATTACTGAACAATCACTGCGACAAATTAGTTGTTGTTCAAAACCGTACGTGTCAATTTTATGATATCAATGAAATATATTATACTTTTGTTAGATTTTATGTAATAATCAGTCATTTATTAGTAAAAAAATCGCCTTGAAACATGCCACGCTTTGACATTTTCCTGTTCGTAGCGCACTTATCGAAAATAGGTTCAAATTAAAACATATCTAAGGCAGGTCGAGCTCGAAAAATCACCAATTTTTGACTTGAGGGGCAGTGAAATTTGATCTCTTTTTGTAAATTAAGACCTAGACACTTCGGAGACCTCGATTAACAGTAAAGCGTATTTCTAACGATCTCTTCAACAAAGTGTCTAAAGTGAACAATTGTTATTAACAATTTACATTTTTAAAAGTGAAAGTGCAAAGAGAAGTAGGTATTGGAATGCAAAAATTTAAGATATTAAAAGATATCATTTCGAGGTTCTAGCTATAATTTGATCATCTCCATTGAACCGCACCGACGAAATTTATTTCAAACGAATGAAGAAATTCAAACCTAGTTGAAATTAATGAAATTTTAGACATATATTCCGTGGATTTTACATGACAGAAATTTTTTACTAAATAAACTTGACAACAAGTGGTTCCAGGAACTAAGTTGAGTTTAAATTCAATTAGGTTTAGTTAATTACGCAGGACGGCGCAGTTAAGAGACCAGCATCGGCAATTTTCGTGCAACATTACTTTGCGCCGGCAATATACGATAGGAAAATGTTCATTAGAATAATGATTGCTTAAGGAAAATTAAAGATACGTAGTGAAAATGTCACTAGATTGCTTGAATCGCCGATTCACTAGAAATTTAAAAGCGAAGAAAACTCCACAAAAATTCAGCATTTCTCTATTGAAAATGTTTCGGAGACCAGCTCCATCGTCAGTTCGATAAATCTAGAACACAAACACACTAACACAGTAAGAAAATTAATGAAGTTTGGAGTCAAAAGTGAAGAAACGTAGCGAAGAAAAGTCCGTTAGGATCTCCCGAAAATTGGCGAGGGAAGCTATAATTCTTGCAGTTAGAACGGAGCGACGCTCGGTTATGACACGATTATAGATTCTGCCTTACGGCTGACTCGATTATAGATTCAGTTCAACTCGTCATCGTGATGTATTCTGAATTTGCTAAATAAATTGCGAGCAAAATCAAACCATCACACAGCTTATCACTACTAGATAATTTTTACTTTATATTCGGTGAATTAAACACAAAACACAATGATGATCGGTCAGGGACAGAGAAGACACGAAGGAACGTATAACCGTCCCGCGGCGCGACAAAAAGGACACTGAGGTCTATCCTTACAAAAGACCCTGATTTAACAAATAAAAATGGAGCCTAAAATGTCAGCGGAGGCCAGAAAATGAAGAATATCATGTTCGTCACGAGCGGTTATAATTAAACACGCTTTAAAAGGACTGCAGGAATGCGAGTGTAAACTTTGTGAATGGATGAAGTGAAGCACTTGTTGATTCAGGGCAGGTATGATGACGGCATTTGCAGCAACATGATAATGAGCTACGGTACGTCTGAGCGGTGTACTAGCAGGAATATTTAGTCCAAAGGCGCTTGTGAATGAAGCAGTGCAACTTATTATTATGCTATGCAATATAGCATAGTTATTATGCTATGCAATATTGCATAGTTATTATGCTATGCAAGATTGCATAGTTATTATGCTATGCAAGATTGCATATATAGTGTTATTTTGCTATGCAATAGTTATTCTTAAGTCTCTAGGTCTATTGCTCTGGGAGCAATAGTCGAGTCTCCCATGTGATTGAAGCAGTGCAACGAATATAAAAGGAATATATTAAATACTTATAAGTGCCTAGTATTATAATACTACGCGGTAAGTATTCCCAAGTATTTGTGTAAATATTACTTCAAGTCAATTCATGACTTAACATCATCACACACAATCCCCACTGCCTGCACTCACCATCATCACACACAATCACCACTACCTGCACTCACCATCACCACAGCCTGCACTCACCATCACCACTACCTGCACCTGTCTCTTATACACATCTAGATGTGTATAAGAGACAGCTGCAGTGCTCTCAGAGAGCTGAGAGAATCCGAGGCCAGAAGATAGGATCCCTCCTTATCTTTCAGGTACATCAAAGCATAGTAGATGGCAGTAAGTTCAGCTGTGAAGATGGAATTTTCTCTGTTTAGTCTTGCCATTAGAGAGAATGTTTGTGACCAAACACCGGCTGCTGTTTGATTGGTGGTCTTTGAGCCATCACAGTAGACTGGTGAGTGGGATGGGTACTTGAGGAGGAGGTCCGCAAAGCAAGCTTGCCAAGCTGTGGGTGGAAGGTCTTGCTTCTTGGATGAGTGGAGGGAGAAGTCAATTTTTGNGACAGTCAGTCAAGGATGCGACAGTCAGTCAAGGATGCGACAGTCAGTCAAGGATGCTACAGTCAGCCAAGGATGCGACAGTCAGTCAAGGATGCGATAGTCAGTCAAGGATGCGACAGTCAGTCAAGGATGCGACAGTCAGTCAAGGATGCGACAGTCAGTCAAGGATGCTACAGTCAGTCAGGGATGCGACAGTCAGTCAAGGATGCGACAGTCAGTCAAGGATGCAACAGTCAGTCAAGGATGCGACAATCAGTCAAGAATGCGACAGTCAGTCAATGATGCGACAGTCAGTAAATGATGCAACAGTAAGTCAAGGATGCTACAGTCAGTCAAGGATGCTACAGTCAGTCAAGGATACGACAGTCAGTCAAGGATGCGACAGTCAGTCAAGGATGCAACAGTCAGCCAAGGATGCGACAGTCAGTCAAGGATGCGACAGTCAGCCAAGGATGCTACAGTCAGTCAAGGATACGACAGTCAGTCAAGGATGCGACAACCAGTCAAGGATGCGAGTCAGTCAAGGATGCAACAGTCAGTCAAGGATCGACAGTCAGCCAAGGATGCAACAGTCAGTCAAGGATGCAACAGTCAGTCAAGAATGCTACAGTAAGTCAAGGATGCAACTGTCAGTCAAGGATGCAACTGTCAGTCAAGGATGCGATAGTCAGTCAAGGATGCGATAGTCAGTCAAGGATGCGATAGTCAGTCAAGGACGCGACAGTCAGTCAAGGATGCTACAGTAAGTCAAGGATGCAACTGTCAGTCAAGGATTCGACAGTCAGCCAAGGATGCTACAGTCAGCCAAGGATGCTACAGTCAGTCAAGGATGCAACAGTCAGCCAAGGATGCTACAGTCAGTCAAGGATGCTACAGTCAGCCAAGGATGCGACAGTCACTCAAGGATGCATTCTACTAATGGGGGTAAAACTAATTGAGCAAATGGGGAAAAACTAATTCTACTAATGGGGGAAAAACTAATTCTACTAATGGGGGGAAAAACGAATTCTACTAATGGGGGAAAAACGAATTCTACTAATGGGGGAAAAACGAATTCTACTAAAGGGGGAAAAACTAATTGAGCTAATGGGGAAAAACTAATTCTACTAATGGGGAAAAACTAATTCTACTAATGGGGGAAAACTAATTCTACTAATGGGGGAAAACTAATTCTACTAATGGGGAAAACTAATTCTACTCATGGGGGAAAACTAATTCTACTAATGGGGGAAAACTAATTCTACTAATGGGGGAAAACTAATTCTACTAATGGGGGAAAACTAATTCTACTAATGGGGGAAAAACTAATTCTACTAATGTGGGAAGTAAGGGTGCTAATGAATAATCTAATGACACTAATGTGGAAACTAATGGTCAACTGGGACTAGTGGACAAAGAGGTACCTACTAGCCTACTAGGTCTAGTGGACTACTAGTCACAGGAGTAGGTAGCGGACTTATGCTCAACGAGGACTAGTGAGATAATCGACATTCGGGACTAAAGGAATAATGGTCATCTAGTATGCTAGTTTTAAAATAGTTATCATGTTAATGGAAGTAATGAAAGTCTCGGGATCGCTTGTCGGCACACGCTACGCTTGTACGAGTAGGTGTCGGTACACTCAGAGCAATCGAATGTCTTAACGTACAGCCACCGCGACCGTTCGCAACGGAACAAGTCATACTCACGCTGCGTCCATCGCCAAGCTGGAAAATGGAAAAAAAATCCGTCAATTCATCTTAAAACTATGTACTTTATATTATGAAATTATGGTAGTTAAAGAAAAACAGATTATACAGGAAAATTGTCGGATCATTTGATTGATTACATCTTTTGATTAGAAAATGAAAACTAAATTGCTCGCAGTTATAAACAGGCAATGGAGTGTTTCTAAAACTGTCATTGGTGTTGAAGTTAACCGGTAAAACATATTTAAGTTAATTATAGCAATCATACAAGAAAGCACGCTTCCGATAACTTGATGCCAGGTTGCAGTTAACTTAGTTAACTTCACATCCGCGGCACCAATGAAGCAATTAAAAACCTAACATGCTAATGAAAATAGTAGCATATTCCCTTATGAATGTAAATCGACGTATCAGTTATGCTGGGCTTACATGTGGCACATGAATGGTATGGTGCACGAATGCTTTTAGAGATAAATCTTTACATGAAGAAACATGAAATTCATGACGGTTAGATGCAAATGAAACGGCTGGATTTTGTCTACTTAAGAAATGATTAGATTTATTTTTTAAACCGAACGCACGATAGGTGCGTCGCTAAAAATTGTGGAAAACCTATCAAGTCCCTAGGGCTTCCGCTCAATGAAGATCACCCGAGCTTGGCGTCTGATATATTTTTTGATCTCGTTTGGTTAATAATGGAAGCCACATTATAAACCTAACAAAAAAATTAGCCTGTCAGTAACCCGATTATTTGACACTCAAAATGCTTCCGGTGGGTATTAATTTGGCTTCTGGAAGTGAGGCTTCCTTGAAACTTGGCTTCTTACTCATTTGAATTACTCATTTACTCTAAAAAAAATTTTTCAACATCTAAAATTGCACTGAAAGAAGTCACCGCCAACTTTATCCATCGAAAACACAAAAATGTAATTTCGTACTTGAATGTTTCGCAACTCATCAAGTGTACTCACTCTTCGCTCCTGACTGAGGTGTCATCTTTGTCAAAATTGCACTTTACGAAGTCACCGCCAACTTTATCCATCGAAAACACGAAACGTATTTGAATGTTTCGCAACTCATCAAGTGTACTCACTCTTCGCTCCTGACTGAGGTGTCATCTTTGACGGACTGGGACGATGAGCAGCTGCTCCCCATACTCGAGCTCTTCCTTCTGCAGGAGTCCAGTCAAGGAGTCGGAGTCTCCAGACGAAGTCGTCAGGTAACAATGCAGAGCCACCAGCTCGGGGCAGCAATCAAGTAACTTATCATCGTCATGGGGACCCAAAAAAGCTGTTGTATAACACGCTTAATGTATTTGTAGGCAGAAGGTCATCCTCCCGATCATAGGTAATGTTTGAGGTTATAATTTACTATGATTATTATGGAGCGTTGCAGCGTCAGAGCAGAGTTCACACATTAGTACGTACAGTATTCACAATAGTATTTATAAGTTGCAGTTTCAGAAGCATTATGATGGGTATTTAAACTCACACGCTGTCTCAACAAAAAAAAAGTGGATCAACATGAAAGCACCATAGGGTATTCATGGAAGCATGTAGAACACCAACGATCATAATTAAACATCATGCAGGAATGTTTTTTTCACAATTCAGATCACGTGGCAAGCAAGGATGCTCTTAGAATCATGATCGTAAGAAGTGGATTTACCTATACGTTAATGATTGTGACCACACCAAACGGGACAGGAACCTGTACACGTACGATGCCGCGCACGTCTCACGGCACCAACAGGTTTTGTGCACGGGCTCGCGTGGAAGGTCGTTGGCAGTGGAACATGAATTTCAAAGAGAATTTTATTTCATGCATTATTTCCGGTTGACATATATCTTCACGCCTACGTGAATCTTAATTCACTGAAGATTTATACCTTCTTGTCATTCCACATCGTAATACTGATCTCAATACTGAGGCTCGCAACTACAGAAATCGAACTAACACGAAAATTTCATTAGAGAAACTGTGAGCAGTTTTTAGCAGTTTACCACAATTTGCTGTCCCTAATCTCACTTAACGCTAAACACATAACAAACAATACCGTCCCATGGCATTTCTCAACAGTCCTACTGACTCCTACACTTGGCGTATGTCTTTAGTCGATTCTGTGTAATGGTTTTCCGGCAACAAGCCTTAATTTTTTAGAAAAACTATCTAATCTTTCGCTCTGTCATCTATTTGGACAGTTACATTTCTCAGGCTGTATTAAAATCATATTATTTACTAAAATATACCGCCATATCCAAACACTTTCGCGAGGTATTTAACGATTCTGACGCAGTCATTGCTCGTCGATGCTACCTGTCACATCCAAGAGGCAGTGAAGCAATCTTGAAGATTTTCTTTGAACCAGTCAGTCCATCCTAATGTTCGTGAATAATTCGATCTAAAATTAAAATTCAAATTGATAACAAACAATAGCCTACAAATCCGCAACAAACGTAGCGCTCATCAACAGGCTTCATTTTCAAACGCATAATATTTAAACGCTTAACACATATTTGAACACATATTCAAATATAATTTCCATTCAATGTCACACTGGTTCAGAAAATAACTTCATTCGACACTTTTTTGTCAGAAATTTTAGTCAGAGCTTCGCAGTAAATGAAGTTACAGGAGATTTGCTTTATAGTCCGTGAACTTTCAAGTCATCCTGAGTAGAACGGCCACGATGGGAGGGAGGGGGAGGGGGGGGAGATCCGAACTTCAAAGAGGCCTGCGCAACGAACTGCACGTCGAGTAGCGATCCTGTAATACAAATACTTATAAAATGTTGTATTTTTCCCCATTTAACAACTGAATGTATGCAGTTGATAGTTAAATGCGTAAGAACGGGGATAATTTTGAATTTATGATTATTAAGTTTGGACAAATAATGAGACGAATTAATTGAAAATAAACAGGCATTTATTCGAAGTACTAACATCGAGCAAGTTATATGCAGAAAATCTTGTGTCTCTTGCTCTTACTAGTTGTGCACTTGGGGTTACATCGTACAAACGATGAACCAAGTATATTTTTACAAAATAAGAAACTCTTTGTATTCAAGTATCAAGTTGAATTTGCATATTAATAATGAACTAAGAAAGGAAGTAGTTAACTTGTAGAGCGAAGGGTTGGCGACATGAACATAAGAGTACTTTGGCACAAAAATAGATCCTATGGCGTCAGAATCAAGAATATTTGCTCTAATAAACGAAGAATTTGGCAGCAAATGGTGCATCCGTCGCGTGCCCAGGGCATTCTCAACAGTAAACTTGGCACCCACATACCCCAAGTTGTCAAATGAAGACTTATTATCGCGTCAGGCGGTACTTACCAGCCGGGGGGCATAGTTTAGCTAAGTCGTTGGCACCGATACCACTAAAGTTAAAAATTAGACTTACACTTGGGTAATGTACGTATAGGCTACTTGAGACTATGCGTTCATACACCGTAGAATATACATAAGATAGCAGAACATAGATGCTAAAAGCTATTAAATGATATCCACAATTTGTCTACAATATATAGAATGAGTTTGTTACTTCCTTGAGATACAAGGCTTCAAATTTCTTGCTTTCAATGATAAAAAAAAATTAAAAAAAAAACAGCAGGCTTAATGTATAGGAACTTTGGAAATGAGTAATCCGTCAGAAATAAATTGTGCTGACGATAATGCAAAAAAAAAAACGATAAAGATTTAGCTGGAAATTTTCCTACATTATTTTTACATTGATAACCAATTAAAGTCGCTCAACGTTCATATTTAGAGCCAATTGAAGCGAGTTTAGAGAAATTGTTGCATATATATCAACTAACCCGGATTTTCGAACTGCATGCGTTTGAAGTGTTCAAACAATCTCTGGATGGTATTTAAAATGTTTCCGGGTGGTAGTGATGTCAAAATTCTGTCTCTCGTATAGTGTTAGTCTAGCTTCTTCCGCTTGGGGTGCTTTTTAAAGCTAATTGCTCAGAACTTATAAAAAATCATAATACTTATGATACATACAGTATTATAACTAATCTTTCTCAACTTGAATTCACAGCAGCACTATAAGAAATCTCTCAATAGTCTCCAAAAATAAGTAAAAAATAAAATAAAAAAACACACACACGTAGGCAGTGGGCTATTTTAAATTATGCTTAAATATGTATGGCACCAACGCTGGCAAGCTTGCTAACATCATTTGAGGTACAAAATAGATCGTGAAAATTTTCCTGCCTAATTATATCGATTTTAATAATATTCTTAGAAATCGTAAGAGTTAGTAGGGAAAAATTTATTACGACAGCCACACGGCTCCAGCCAACGACAACCAAGACCTCTTCAGCCCTTTAGGGTTTTTCGTATAAGGCTATAAGCGTTTCAAAGGGCACTACATTGATTTCTCTTGATAGATAGAAGACTAACTTAGTTAGGTTCAATATCTGTAGCGATCCCGAACTCGTGGAATCAACGGGAGACCAATACTCAGGTTTCTCAAGCCATTGAACAAGTTTGAATATTAACGAATTAAGGTATATTTTAGAGTTGAATAAGTTATTGCAAACAAATATATGTAAATCCTAACTCTTGTAATTTGACCCTGCTGAATATGTATACTAAATTATACTTATATATACCCTTCCGAGCTCGACAAATGACCAGCCGGATAAACATCGAACCTCGTTAATTTGAATTCAGCGAGAAACCGTGCTCACTACTCACTAGCAAGATGAAAAAAGTCACAAATCTACATTTGACACCGAGTCAATTATTAGAATAAAAAGCTGTTGTCAGGTAGACATCACAGCCATTATCGCAGGCTTTATTCGCAGCTAACTCCTGAACAGGGCTTTGAGTTAGGTACCATAAGGATATTATGACATTTTCGCCTTGCCAAACTTTGCGGGACGGTGATAGAAATTAACCGCGTTGATCTTACTGCTTACACTAGTTAGTCAAGTACCTATCAAAATAAATAATAATATTAAAAGCAATATTAATACCATTTTATTTATGATTATTAACAGATAGCACTACGTGAGGCACCATTAGCAGGATAAGGATAAGAAATTTCCATTAATTATTATTATTATTAATGAATAAGAATTATATGAGTAGAAAGAAAAGGGACCCGAGAAACTTGAAACATGGTTATTAAGTAGAAGTTAACATACCTTACTTCATTCTATCCTAAATCCAGTAATCGGTCCGATTCCGAATGCGAACACATACAAACGAATGAACGGATTCATTCACAAGCGTTCGGTGACGACGAGGACATTTGAGTATATTTGGTAAGGCAGTTAGAAGCCTATGATTGATGTTTGGGTTAGTACCTAGGTAGCTTCTATAGTTTTGGATAGTTAAAATCTTAGCGGAATTAAGACCTCATTCCGCGTATTTTCTTTTTGTGAATTGCTCATTAAAACATGCTCACGAGTCACGACTAAGTCACGAGTCACGACACTGGATGAAGTTGAATCTCAATTCTCAATGACTAAAGACCCAAGCATAAAGCAACATTGTAATATGCGTAAACGTTAAATCGTGAGCAAATAAGCAAGCCACAACACCGGAAGCAAGTCTCTCAACACGCGTGTCGGCGACCGAATCATGAAAATATTTGTACTAGCCTAAGAGGAAACTTCTTTCCAAAATGATTAAGAGACATTGATACCAATCGTTTATTTCATCAATAAAAGTCAACTAATACCCAAGTATTTACTTACCAGGATATTTTAGCGATCGAAAATGTATCTACTCAACTTGGGTTGGAAGGCATAGATTTTAGTTGGTTACCTTTAAACTTGTACTTTGCGACATGTCGAGCGAAGGTACACTTCAACAGCAACTATGCTTTATGATTTGTTGTCGGCATCTGTGTACACAACATCAGTAACAAAATGAAACAAAAGTAATCACGGTATAATTAAACACTGAGGCAACATGATCATTGGTCTTTGAGTAATTTTTCTTCTACTTCACGAATCACGATCACCTCGTTCACAATAAGAGTACGACGGTTGAGGCACAACCTCAGACACGAGCTCGACCTGCACACATCCACCACCCACAGCGTCTAATGGCCATCTAGCGTCAGCAGTCAGCACAGGCTTGGCAGGCAGCTCGCACTCGCTGGCAGCCTGGCTTCTCTTTTCGCACCCCACAGCCTCACCCACCCTTTTCTCTGACGTCACTTCACTCACTTGTCGTTTATTGGTGCCGGCACTCTTGTCGCCTGTGCGTGTAAGAACAGATTGTTTTGTTTAGAAAATGAGAGAAGTCTGGGGAACAGAGATAAAACAGTCCGTCTTAAAGATTTATTTCGAATTCTGTTAGACCGGGAATTCAATGGTGGTAAACAAAAAGTATTTACCTATGTTAGTATGATGCAAACGGTTCGACCACGAATACCTGGATAGATTCTAAGACAAGCTCCAGTGCTACTTTCATCTCTATTAAATCAATTCGCAGATGACAGAACCGCACGAATATTCATTTCTATTACCTGATTTCCCTATCGCGTACTTAATGAAATAAAAGCGCTAACCGGGATTCTCTTGAATTTCCAAACATGAACATACATTATTTTCATGCAAGTACAGAATTTTTTTAATGTAGTTCCACTCCAACGAAGTGGAAACTCAACTAGCACAGTGGCACGCCACCGCCATTTGACGCACGCTCGTCCATGGTTGCGCTCGTCTGTCTGGCCAAGAACAGCTGGTGCAGCGGGTCACGCAAGATGGTAGTCTCGCAGGAGCACGTCAAATTTACCCTCTCAGGTATGCAGTGCACTTCGCCATGGTATGGAAGCCGAGTCATTAGAACATTACTTTCTTAATGATTAAATATTCCGAAGTCATAGAGAGAAATTTCAGGACAAATTCTTCACTCCACTGTAGAGTGATGTCCTTGCCTGGGAGCGACAGCATTTTTTTTCTTTTCGTGTCTGCGTTGCGAGGATCTGCAAAGTTTGTTGAACCTGCATTGACGTGTTCGTGAATTCATTATTAAAGGCCTCTTTCTGTCCCTCCTTTGGCGCTGCTCAAGCTACCTGAAATGTCTGTGGTCCAACCAACCACAATGAGATGAGCTTCTTCTCATTCAAAGTCGAATATGTTTTTTAAATTGCCATTTGTTTCTGTTTCCGGAGCCCAAAGGCATATTGGAAACATTTGCTCCCGCAACCAATTTGTCCTATAGGGCCCAGAGATGGAATCGAACTGACGCCTCTGAAGCCAGACAGTTTTTATGAGGGTGTAGTGTAGAAATGTAAGAGTGGAGTGTAGATAAGGTAGTGTGTAGTGAATATTGGGTGAAGTGTGGAGGGTGTAGAGCAGAAATGGTGCAGTGGAGTGTAGATAAGGTAGTGTATAGTGAATATTGGGTGAATTGTGGAGGGTGTAAGGTGGAAATTGCAGGGTATTGTGTGGAAATGGTGAAGTGGAGGTAGTGAATATAGGGTAGTGTGTTAAACAGTGTAGTGAATATAGGGTGAAGTGTGGAGGATGTAGTGCAGAAATAGGAGAGTGCAGTGTAGAAATGGTAGAATGGAGTGTAGATAAGGTAGTGTGTAGTGTGGATAGGGTGGAGGTATAGTCAGTATTTGGGAGGAGTTTTGCTGATAATGGTGGGTGTAGTGTAGACGAGGAAGAGTTAGTGTAGATGAGGGAGGGTGTAGTGTGGATTAAGAGGGAGCTAGAAACAAGAGCGAGGCAGGGGGCTGTTGGCAGGGGCAGGCTGGGTATGGGGTGAGATGAAGAGAGACTAGGATCAATAGAGCGAAAAGCGCATGAGCAAACCAGTCACTTCACGCTCCGTGGAATCTTTCATCTTTTAGATACGGTTTGTACATGCCCATCGTAACGTCTCAGCTGAACTGTGACGTTTGATGAATTTGTCTCCGATTTCTAACTCCAGGAAACCCCTGGAGTTCGGCAACATTGATAGCAATACTTTTCTATCAAAGCAACGCCGGAGGTAATTCTGCAAACCTCGTCGCCGAAAATCAAACTTAATTGGTAATTAATAGGTACTTATTACAAACAAGGCGCAGATCTATCGCCCAACCGCCGAACAGTCTGAATGAAGCTGTCTTTTTTTTTACTTTTTTTTTAAGTAACGTCCATTACACGGGTTTTGTAAGACTTTCTTGTGGTTGTGGTCGTTAAATTATAAAGCTCTAAGATTAAACATATAAGATTATAAGATTGATTTTCCAAGACCCATGTAAATCGTAAGTTCGACGGTAATCGTTCAACGCCGTAACATCATCTGAAGCATCTCAATGCAACTGTCGACCAGTCAGAGAAATAAGCGAGACTCGTTCCAAATAGCGATACACTTTTGCCTTTTGTGGGTCACCCTGACTCAGTTTGCCTCTGGCAAAAGAGGGCATTAGTGCAACTTGCAGAAGTGTCACTGTATAACCCATTCTTTTTTTTAGTGTATCATCCATGAACGATTCCTTGGCCCACAGAAAAACATTTTTACAATATTGGCTCAAGTAGATAATGAAGCCCATTTCGAACAATTGTGGATATAATAACTCTCACATTTGGGCATCAATTACCTCGTGAAAGATTTATACATGATGAATTTGACCAAACAAACTACTTAAGAAATTGACCATTGCCTGTATTTCTTGCGTAATATCGATCTCATTAATTAAGTGCGGTTTGTTAAAGAAAAGACTAACGCTTAAAAAGCGTAAATTCACACAAGTGTTTTCAGATTGTTTTCCCCTTTGAATCAATGATCACGTTTGTCACACGTCTCTCTGCTCTCTCTCTCTAACTTGATTGACGTCACGCGCACTCTTTGTGACGTCACCAAGCGTCAAATCCCATGACAACATTCAGCAAGAGTTTCACTCTCAGAAACTTTGAAAAAGTCAAACGCTTGATATACTATTGGTCTAAGTTCGTGACTGACATTTGCCGATGGTTTTTAGATTCAAGTGTGCGAAGCTGGTAATTTTTGAATGCAGATACTAAATATGAAATTGATTAAATATTAAATTAAGTAATTAATTTAATATTTAATTAAATTCAAATTAAATTTAATTAAATATTAAATTCAGACGCAATTTGCCAGAACAATGAATAAATTGAAAATGATCGAAATAATGCTATCTTACTACCAAACTACTGTAATTTTTTTCAGATTGTGCGTCGCAGCTGGAAGCCGAAACAAATAAGTGTCCGCTATTGACCATTCAATAAACTCCAAATTATATCGACCGATATATTATAAAAATCGACCGATAAAACATGGATAAAGAAATTATCGACCGATAAAACGTGGATAAAGAAATTAAGCCTTTTTTCATGCAAGAATTACTCAACGCAATACATTTCAAGGAATACATATGACCCTTTCATGATTTGTAAAATTATATTAAACACCACACTAATAGTCTATTACCGCACAAATTTTACTTAATGAGCAAAAAGTGATAATCTATAGGTTCCGTGCTTGAACGCAATTTGCCAGAACAATGAATAAATTGAAAATGATCGAAATAATGTTATCCTACTACCAAACTACTGTGATTTTTTTCAGATTGTGCGCCGCAGCTGGAAGCCGAAACAAATAAGTGTCCGCTATTGACCATTCAATAAACTCCAAATTATATCGACCGATATATTATAAAAATCGACCGATAAAACATGGATAAAGAAATTATCGACCGATAAAACGTGGATAAAGAAATTAAGCCTTTTTTCATGCAAGAATTACTCAACGCAATACATTTCAAGGAATCCTTATGACCCTTTCATGATTTGTAAAATTATATTAAACACCACACTAATAGTCTATTACCGCATAAATTTTACTTAATGAGCAAGTAATGATAATCTATAGGTTCCGTGCTTGGGCTCGATAGCTGACAACCACAGAATCGAATTTAAAATTGGGTCATTAGTTTTACAAAATAATTGTTCTTTAACTACTCACATTGAAAATTTTCTCTCATCTATAAGAACTTTTTCGTAAGCGAACAATGTCGCTTGATCGTATATAATAAGTAGAATTAATGGATATTAATGACTATGAAGATGGTTGCTTATTGATCATTGAATTCGCCTCTATAGTAATTTCAATGATCACTTAATGTGAGTGTTGATCTGGGAAATTGTAATGTTCTTTAATCACCATCACCATTTTTATGGTCGTATGGTCGTAATGGCACTCGTTTGCTTGAATCGCGAATTAAAAAGAAATTTAAAAGCAAAGAAAATTCCACAGAGGTTCATAGTCTCTCTAAAGAAAACGTTTCAGAGTCCAGCTCCATTGTCAGTTCGAAGATTCTAAAATGCAGATAAAATCACAAGTAGTACAATTACAGGAATTTTAATTATTGTATTAACTTGCATTTATCTGCATTTTAGATGGAGCTGGACGATGGAGCTGGACGCTGAAACGTTTTATTTAGAGAGGAATTATACTTGCTGTTGAGGATTTCATTTACTGGCTGTTGAGGATTAGATTTTACTACTTGCTAATCAAATAACTGTTGAGGAATTTTATTTGCTTTTAAATTTTGTATTATTGTAGTTTCAATGAAAACGCAAATGAAAGCAACGAAACAGTGTCGATGTTGGATAATGCGCTGACTAATGCTTCTTGCTTATATCTCGAATCAAAAGCTCGTCACAAGGTTTCAGCAGGACGTTCATTTTCAAGCTGTAATTATATTGTATAATATTGTACCTGTTATCAAGCTGTATTTACTATACAGCTAATGTGAAAATCCGAAGATCACTTTTTGATGACGGAGATTAAACAAAACGAACATAAACTGCTTTGCAGGAGAATTTCTCACGAAATATGATCGAAAATATACAGTGTACTTGGATCTTATAAGTAAGCATAACAGCGTTTATGATAAATGACAATTTTACGGCCGGACTCGCGTCCGGTCTCCCCAAATTTAGTGAACAAGGCATATCTCTCAAAGTACTAAACGTACGTAGTTCGTTGAAACTTGGTACACGTATTCATTATGACCGATGATGTTTAGCTCTCGAAATTTTTTGAATTTCGCCTTCATTCGTGAGCTATATTATC